CACAGCTCTGGCGACAAATTCACACAAGAAACAGCAGAAAACACAGCAGAGGGAGTGAGTAGTGGTGAGTGTATGGTAGTGTGGTGGCGAGGAGCGTGGGTGAGTGTATGGCGATGGAGGATCTGGCCACTTCCTCCTTCTCCCACCCACAAACACAGGGAAACACACTGGACTCAAATCACCACAAAACTCACCTCTGGCTTGTTGAAACAGCTGTGCTGAGCTGAACAATAACAGCAACATACAAGTGACGCTGAATATGTGACTTGAGAAACAGCGTGGGGTCACTGGGATGTCACTTACAATTCTCGAAGAAATTCGGCAAATTTTGGCTAGATCCTGCTTGTACCTGTGCCTGGATGCTCAAACGTGCAGACACGACATCAGGATAACTCGTTGAGAGACGGATGCTTCTTGCATGGGGTGATGAAGTGAAGATGACTTCATCCCTCTTCCTTCCTCTCTCCGGGCAAACACAACTGCTGCGACCACCGCTTCCCACCAATGTTTAATGAGATTATTTGGTGAGGCAGTGGTGTAGAGTATATGATAGACGTCTTCAGAGGCTTCTTTATTTGCAATATCGTGGTGGGTACACAGGCTTGTGTGTTGTGCCCATGGCCCGGGAGGGCCATCCCACGAGAGGGAACTAGTAGTAGGCCTTGTGTTTTCCTGCTAGGCTGCTGTGTGAGTGAGAGAGTGTGTGGGACCAGCTTCCCACAGACCTGGACAGGCCCAGAGGGCAGCACTTGAGTGGCATGAAATATGAACTAAGCAGGCAGACAGCATGGGCTGTCTGTGCAGACAGTACAGGCTCTCTACACTTTGCATACAGTATAGCTTCCTTGCTCCCTCTAGTCCTCTTGTCTGTGCCTGATGTAGAAGTTCCTGGTGTTATGTCTGTACTGTTATTTTTTCTTTAGGCTGTTTCAGATTTCTCAGTTCCTCTTCTAAGCTCTGTATCTTGGCTTCTACTATGGCATGTTGCTCCCACTTTCTGCTCTCTGCAGCTTTCCTCTCCTCCACCCTCCTTCCAAGCTCTACTAGCTTGCTTCCCCATTCTTTCTCCCTTTTTTTGAGCTCTGCCTCCCAATTCTCCTTCCCAGATTCGTCTGCCAGACCCTTGGCTCTCGGCCTTGTTCTTGGTTGCCCCATTGTACCACAGAACGAAGCTTACTTACTTTCAGAGTGGGTGTTTATGTGAGGATGGGTGTTGTAAGGAGGGGAAGAGGGAGGGAGGTAGGGCAGGGGGGAGAAGGATATGGGGTGGGAGGAGGGGGGAACATCAAGGAGAGTTTTAGGGGTTACAAGAGGTATAGGGAGGGGGGAGAATGGGAGTGTGAGAGAGGCTCATGTTTGTGTGAGGATGGGTGTTGTATGGAGGGGAAGGGGGAGGGAGGTAGGGCAGGGGGGAGAAGGATATGGGGTGGGAGGGGGGAGCAGCATCAAGGAGAGTTTTAGGGGTTACAAGAGGGTATAGGGAAGGAGAAAGGGAGTGTGGGAGAGGCTAGAGGGAGAGAGAGGGGGAGAGAAAGAAGACTGGGGAGAGAGAAGATGGATGGAAGGTGATGAGAGAGAGAGAGAGAGAGAGAGAGAAAGTGATAGGTTGGGAGAGGGATAGAGTGGCCTAGTGATAGAAAGAGAAAGAGTGGGGGAGTGGGAGTTGTGAGGGGAAGATGGTTAGAGGGGGAAGGGGCAGAATGATGGAGAGGTGGGGAATGAGAGATTATGTTGGGCTTGGTAGTGTGTGTGAGAGAGAGAGAGAGAGAGAGAGAGAGAGAAGAGAGAGAGAGAGGAGAGAGAGAGGAAGAGAGAGAGAGAGAGAGAGAGAGAGAGAGAGATAGGGAGAGAGAGAGAGGGGAGAGAGGGAAAGAGATAGGGAGAGAGAGAAAGAAGATAGGGAGAGAGAGAGAGGGGGAGAGAAAGAGATAGGGAGAGAGAGAGAGGGGGAGAGAAAGAGATAGGGAGAGAGAGAGAGGGGGAGAGAAAGAGATAGGGAGAGAGAGAGAGGGGAGAGAAAGAGATAGGGAGAGAGAGAGAGGGGGAGAGAAAGGATAGGAAGAGAGAGAGAGGGGAGAGAAAGAGATAGGGAGAGAGAGAGAGGGGGAGAGAAAGAGATAGGGAGAGAGAGAGATGGGATTGAAGGGGGGGAGGGAAGGAGGGAGATAGTGACTGCTTAAACAGGGATGCCTTAAGGCTGTACTTACCTAGGTGTGGTTGCAGGTGTTGAATCATAGCTCCTGGCCCCGCCTCTGCACTGGCCACTAACGGTGAAGAGGCTTTATCATACCTCTGCTTAAAGCTATGAATGGATCCTGCCTCCACTACATCACTTCCCAAACTATTCCACTTCCTGACTGCTCTGTGACTGAAGAAATATTTCCTGACATCCCTGTGATTCGTCTGTGTCTTCAACTTCCAACTGTGTCCCCTTGTTGCTGTGTCCCATCTCTGGAACATTCTGTCTCTGTTCACCTTGTCAGTTCCTCTCAGCATTTTATATGTCGTTATCATGTTCCCCATCTCTCCTGTCCTCCAGTGTCGTCAGGTTGATTTCCCTTAACCTCTCCTCGTAGGACATACCCCTTAGCTCTGGGACCAGTCTTGTTGCAAACCTTTGCACTTTCTCTAGTTTCTTTACGTGCTTGGCTAGATGTGGGTTCCAAACTGGTGCCGCATACTCCAATATGGGCCTAACATACACAATGTACAGGGTCCTGAACGATTCCTTATTAGGATGGTGGAATGTTGTTCATAGGTTTGCTAGGTGCCCATATGCTGCAGCAATTATTTGGTTGATGTGTGCCTCAGGAGATGTGCATAGTGTTATACTCGCCCCAAGATCTTTTTCCTTGAGTGAGGTTTGTAGTTTCTGACCCACTATACTCTATCTGCGATCTTCTTTGCCCTTCCCCAATCTTCATTACTTTGCACTTGGTGGAATTGAACTCCAGGAGCCAATTTCTGGATCAGGCCTGCAGCTTGTCCAGATCCCTTTGTAGTTCTGCCTGGTCCTCGTCCAATTGAATCCTTCTCATCAGCTTTACATCAACTGCAAGCAGCGACACTTCGGAGTCTTTTCCTTCCGTCATGTCGTTCACGAATACCTGAAACAGCACAGGTCCTAGGACTGACTCCTGTGGAACCCCACTCGTCACAGGTGCCCACTCTGACACCTAACCTCTTACCATGACTCGCCCCTGTCTTTCTGACAGGTATTCCCTGATCCATTGTAGTGCCTTCCCTGTTATCCCTGCCTGAGCCTCCAGTTTTTGCACTAATCTCTTGTGTGGAACTGTGTCAAACTCCTTACAGTCCAAGAAAATGCAATCTACCTGCCCCCCCCCTCTCTCTCTCTCTCTTGTCTTACTGCTGTCACCCTGTCATAGAACTCCTGTAGGTTTGTGGCACAGGATTTCCCATCCCTGAAACCGTGTTGGTTGTTGTTGATAAGCTCATTCCTTTCTAGGTGTTCCACCACTCTTCTCCTGATAATCTTCTCCATGACTTTGCATACTATACATGTCAGTGACACTGATCTGTAGTTTAGTGCTTCTTGTCTGTCTCCTTTTTTAAAAACTGAGACCACATTTGCTGTCTTCCATACCTCAGGTAATTTCCCTGTTTCGATAGATGTGTTGAATGTTGTTATTAGGGGCACACATAGTGTCTATGCACCCTCTCTCAGGACGTATGGAGAAATGTTATCCTGCCCCATCGCCTTTGAGGTGTCTAGCTCGCTCAGCAGCCTCTTCACTACTTCCTCGGTTGTATGTATTGTGTCCAACACTTGGTGGTGTACCTCACCTCTCCGTCTTTCTGGAGTCCCTTCTGTCTCCTCTGTGAACACTTCTTTGAATCTCATATTGAGTTCCTCACATACTTCTCGGTCGTTTCTTGTGATCTCTCCTCCTTCCTTCCTTAGCCTGATTACCTGGTCCTTGACTGTTGTTCTCCTGATGTGACTGTACAGCAGCTTCGAGTGTGTGTGTGTGTGTACTCACCTATTTGTGGTTGCAGGGGTTGATTCATAGCTCCTGGCCCTGCCTCTTCACTGATTGCTACTAGGTCCTCTCTCTCCCTGCTCCATGAGATTTATCAAACCTCGTCTTAAAACTATGTATGGTTACCGCCTCCACTACGTCACTTTCTAGGCTATTCCACTGCCTAACTACTCTATGACTGAAGAAATACTTCCTAACGTCCCTTTGATTCATCTGAGTCTTCAACTTACGATTGTGACCTCTTGTTTCTGTGTCCCATCTCTGGAACATCTCGTCTTTGTCCACCTTGTCTATTCCGCGCAGTATTTTATATGTCGTTATCATGTCTCCCCTGACCCTCCTGTCCTCCAGTGTCGTCAGGCCGATTTCCCTCAACCTTTCTTCGTAGGACAATCCCCTTAGCTCTGGGACTAGTCTTGTTGCAAACCTTTGCACTTTCTCTAATTTCTTGACGTGTTTGACCAGGTGTGGATTCCAAACTGGTGCTGCATACTCAAGTATGGGCCTGACGTAAATTGTGTACAGAGTCTTGAACGATTCCTTACTGAGGTATCTGAAAGCTATCCTTAGGTTTGCCAGATGCCCATACGCTGTAGCAGTTATCTGATTGATGTGCGCCTCAGGAGATGTGCTCGGTATTATACTCACCCCCTGATCTTTTGTGTGTGTGTGTGTGTGTGTCTGTGTGTCTGTGTCTGTGTCTTGTGGATCTTTGCAGGCTACTGTTGAGGTGTATCTAAGTTCCAGTGTATTTTCTGTGTGACCAGTCCTATTCATAATGCATGTAAAAAAGTACTTTTATGACTTTCCAGTATTGAATTAAATATAGTGATAATTTATAGTTTTGTAAGTGTTATAGGAATGAAGCAGACTTAGCATTAGAGTACTAGGTAGTGAAGGACTGACTATTGGATTGAACTTAATGAGTGTGAAGTGTGAGATATACCTTGTTTCTTTAGTGCAGTAAGAAAAAATAATGTTCATGTTTCCTCACAGGAGCTCTGTCATGCTGCAATGGAGATACATGGGCCTCTGAGATAGGAACAGTGTTGAGCACTGGAGATCCTATTCTCATCACTTCCCTTCAGTCAGTACCACGAGGTATGCTTTATTTGTAGTAGTACTGTATAGTCACTGAAAGTATTTAAATATGTTCAGTATGATACACTGTGAAGACACTCAGTAGCACTACAGGTAGGTGGCAGAGTGACATCAGCATTGTGTCATAGTTCCAAGTTTTCATGTGCATTACTCTGAACTGTTCAATTAAAAAATTATCCATATATGCAGTAGAACCTTAATAGTCAAGTAGATGATAGATATTCATATTTTCTGAGGTTCTAGAGACCAGAAATATCAGGATTGACTAAAATATTCCAGCATCTAAAGAACTTTGGTTTTTGTGCATTTTTTCAGTTTTAACTATATTATAGCCTCACACTTCCTTCCAAGAAGGATGCACAACATCTGTTTAGAAAACAAAGCCAAGTGTTTTTAATAAGATATAGACTTTATAATGTAGTGTGTGTAGAGAAGTCATAAAAACATAATGAAAGAACGAAATAATGTGTCAACATCAGTACAGCCTCTCCTCACTTTGTGATGTACTCATTTACCAATGCCTTGGACTTACGATGGGCTCTCTGACCAGTGTTCGTACCTAATAATGTACAGTGGACCCCCGCATAGCGATATTAATCCGTGCAAGAGAGCTCATTGTTATGCGAAATTATCGTTATGCGAATGAATTTTCCCCATAAGAAATAATGGAAATCAAATTAATCCGTGCAAGACACCCAAAAGTATGAAAAAAAAAAATTTTACCACATGAAATATACATTTTCCTACACACAAAGAGAAGGATACATGCACAATAGTAGAGTAGTACATGCACAATATATATTGTGCATGTACTACTCTACTAAATGAAGAATAAATGACACTTACCTTTATTGAAGATGCAGCAATGACTGATGAGACACTGTGTCCTGGGAGTGCCTTTTCCTCCTGAGTACTGTAGGTCCTGTTTGGCATTTTCTTCCAGAACAGGCCTTATCACACTGTGTATGCCACTACAATTCTTAAATCTCTCAAACCAACCTTTGCTGGCTTTAAATTCACCAATATGAGCACTAGTTCCAGGCATTTTTCCCTGTTCACCTGGGTGTTAGTCGACTGGTGTGGGTTGCATCCTGGGAGACAAGATTAAGGACCCCAATGGAAATAAGTTAGACAGTCTTCGATGACACTGACTTTTTTGGGTTATCCTGGGTGGCAAATCCTCTGGGGTTAATTGTTTCTTGGTATTCTCAATAAGCCACACCAACAACGGTGCTACAGCAGCAGCAGCAGCTGACAGTGCTACAGCAGCAGCAGCAGCTGACAGTGCTACAGCAGCAGCAGCAGCTGACAGTGCTACAGCAGCAGCAGCAGCTGACAGTGCTACAACAGCAGCAGACGATGCTACAGCAGCAGCAGACGATGCTACAGCAGCAGCGGGCAGTGACGGTGGTACAGCAGCAGCAGCAGCTGACAGTGCTAAAAGCAGCAGCAGACGATGTTTACAGCAGCAGCAGACAGTACTACAGCAGCAGCAGACGGTACAAACAGCACCCAGCAGCAGCTGACAGTGCTACAGCAGCAGCAGACGATGCTACAGCAGCAACAGACGGTACTACAGCAGCAGCAGCAGCTGACGGTGGTACAGCAGCAGCAGCAGCTGACGGTGGTACAGCAGCAGCAGCAGCTGACAGTGCTACAGCGCAGCAGACAATGCTACAGCAGCAGCAGACGATGCTACAGCAGCAGCAGACAGTACTACAGCAGCAGCAGACGGTACTACAACAGCAGCAGCAGCACCAGCTGACGGTGGTACAACAGCAGCAGCAGCTGACAGTGCTACAGCAGCAGCAGATGATGATACAGCAGCAGCAGACGGTACTACAGCAGCAGCAGCAGCAGCAGCTGACGGTGGTACAGCAGCAGCAGCAGCTGTACCACCAATAGTAGCGATGGTTGATTGGGTTTATTATAAACTGGCCAGCTCGGAGGGCACGCACTCCACTTTTTATACTTATCAATGATCTATTTCTTCATCTCTATAGTTTAAATTTTCACCCTTATTGCTGTAGGGTTGGCATAAAAGCTTTCTTGGGGCCCATGGTCACTTATTTTGCAGATAAAATCACCAAAAACACTGTAATATACCCAAATGTTCTGATTGTATGCTTGGATGTTACCGCGGAGGCTGGCTGGTAAACAATGCCACCGGCGGAACATGTGAGGCTGGCTAAGGGCGCACATTAGACGCGTCTCGGACGAACAGTGTTGAGCGGGTTTTTTAGCGGTATGCGAGGCAAAATCTTGGCGATAAAATGTAGCGGTATGCGGATTTAACGTTATGCAAGGCCAACAGTATGCGGGGGTCCACTGTATATTAGAACTGATTTCCTCTATTCTGTTCATTTCAGTGTATAGTTGACCCTCCCTTTTCGTCATTAACCCTTAACCCTTTCAGGGTCTGGGCCGTAGATCTACGGCTTTACGTTCAGGGCCCAAACCGTAGATCTACGCCATGAGCTCAGCTCACTCTGATAAGCTGTGAGTGGTAAATTTGTGCCTAGATATGAGAGAATACATCTATGTGGTATGTGTGCACCACATAAAACAAATCCTGCAGCGCACAGTGTATAATGAGAGAAAAAAAACCAAGACCGTGATCTTCAATTAAAACAGCGACTTTACAGTGTTTTTCGTATGTTTTCTATAGTTGTATTTGCGATTTCTTGGTCTCATTTGATAGAATGAAAGACACATTACAGAAATAGAGATGATTTTGATTGGTTTTAGCACTGGAAATGGCTTGAAACTGAGCTCAAAGTAGCAGAAATGTTAAATTTTTGCCAATGTTCAAGAGTAAACAAATGACCTCACACATCTAATACATGCCAGCTGGTGGGTCTAATATACATTCACAAATGTGGTGATGATATTTATACAATTATTACAATATTGCATAACAGTAAATCTTCTATTTTTTGGTTTGAATAAAAATTCATTATGTGAATAAAAAATAAAAATGGAATTCATTTGTAAAGCCTCAAAACATAACTAATGAACAGAGGAAATGTTAGTTTAGTGCTAGGAATACCTACATTGTTTATTCTGGACCCTATTTTGAAATTGGAATATTTTGAACTTTGTGTTAAATTGGCCAAATTACCAATTTCCGACCACTTTATTTTGTAGTTGAAACAGTTGAGTTGGCGATTTCTTGTGCTCAATCGATAGAATAGAAGTAATACTAGTGAAATAGCTAAGAATTTGGTTGACTGGAATAATGTAATTGGCCGAAAATGGGAGTCAAAGTCAGCAAAATCTCTGATTCGTAAATATCGCTGACACATCAAAATTCGCGAGAGCATAATTTCGTCAATTTTCCATCAAATTTTGTACTTTTTGTTTTATTTCCTTCAGAAAAAGATTCTCTACCATTTCATAAGAAAAAATAACAATTTTTTTTTTTTCTAAATTCTTGGACCCTGGTGTGCACTTGCAAATTTGGCCTCTGGACCCTGAAAGGATTAAACTGTCCACACATAGATATACGTTGATGTGCGGCAGGCTCTGAACGTAGATCAACATTTTAATTTTTCATTCCTTCAAATTTGGTGCGATAGGCCTGAGTCGCCTAGACATGAAAGAATGGGTGTGTGCACTCAGTGTGCACACTATGAAAAAAATCTGGGAGCACTTAGTACCTTGTGGGAGCACCAGTTCAACTGAGCACCAGCTAGAGCAAATATCGTGGCAAACACCAAGGATTCACTGATGTCATGTCGTATTAACACTCACATTTTAAGAGGAAAGTAAAAATAGGTTAGATAAATGCATGAGTGGGTGTGGGTGGGTGTGAGTTGGACCTGACTATCTTGTGCTACTAGGTCAGATGTCATGCACCTTTTTTCAGTGGATGTGACCCGACTAGGTGGGTTATTCGTCAAATCCGGGGGGTGACATGGACCTGCTTTGCATGGGCCAGTAGGTCTGCTGCAGTGTTCCTTCTTTCTTATGTTCTTATGTATTCGGCTGGCTAGCTGGCTGGCTTTGGCTGTATCTCTCTGTATCTGTTTATATATCTCTATATCTCTGTCTCTCACATGTACTCATAAATACAGTTATTATACATAATGTAAATTACCTAGCATAACCCGAAAAATCTAGGCCATGTGCTATACAGTGTTTGTAGATATAAGACCTAAATAAACGTGACACAAGTAATAATAGTGTCACTTGCTCAGCAATCAGGGAGCGGCACATACACCACAAACTAACACGTTTACTAGCTGCTCCCTGAGACAAAGACAAGCAGATGGAAAGACAGACACACAGGCAGACAGAAAGACAGATAAGCAGTACTAGACAGATAAGCAGAGCTAGGCAGACAGAGACAGACATATAGATGTACAGATAGACAGACAGATAGACTGACAGACAGACATACAGAGACATGTTTGTGTGCAAGAGTAAAAACATATAATGGCAAGGTTCCCCCCTCCAACAGCGCACATTCATCAAATGTCACTGTTATCTGACACTGTCATAACACCATTATTCAAGGAACTCATATTACACTCCAGGCATACACAGAAGACAGAAAGACAGATAAGCTGAACTGGACAGACAGATAAGCAGAACTAGGCGAACAGACAGATAGATGTACAGATAGACAGATGTACAGATAGACAGACAGATAGTCAGGTAAACAGATTGACTGATAGACAGACATGCGAAGACATGTTTGTATGCAAGAGTAAAAACATATAATGGCAAGGTTCTCTCCAGCAGAGCACATTCATCAAATGTCACTTATCTGATCCTTGTCATAACACTATGCTTCAAGAAGGTTCATACTCCAGCATGTCTAAAACATTGCTGGGACCTATAAATACTTTGTATATATTTCTAGACAATAGTAAATGACCAGGGCATGTAAAAATGTTCACCTGTCAATGTGATTGTTACAATTTAAGTACAATTTCAGTACATAATATTAGTGTCAGAACAAAGATTGGCTATGAAATCACAAGAACTATTATGAA